AAGATGCTTTTAGGCAAGTATCTTAATTTGAAGCAATCTGTAAGGCATATTGGCTTACTTTGGAGGGATATATTCTGAAAGCCCTAATTTGTGTGATGAAAATGCAAGAAGAGAATATGACAGATAGGCAGCATGGGTGCAGTGCCCTAGTCTGTGGAAGCCCCCAGAAACCACCCCATATATGCCAAACAAGCCCTCAGTGGCCACTACACTGATCTATCCCCAGTACCTTGTTCCCTAGCAAAGCACAGTCCCCTCCATGCAAGTAGTGGTAATGACAGCTGTGTGATGGACAGACCCGCGACATCTTCAGGTTATAATCCTACTAACTAGGGCATAGGGCAGTTCCCAATAGTTCACAAATTTTTATGAACCCCACCTTCCTGTTAGGCATAACTTATTTCCTGTCACTGTTCACTTTTAAACACTTCACATATGTTATATTAAGAAGCCATGTGTTGGTGTGTGGATATCTTGATAACATACACTAACCAAAGGAAATGTCTACCTGGTTCATTCGTATGGTAACTCAGCAGTCCCAGACAAGCTCCTGTGACTCTCCATTAGAAATGCCTTTTGCAATTCTCTGCTTTACTGGGAGGAATAGGAAGTGCTCACATGCTATCAAATAGCTGCATTGTGTAGCTAGAAATTCAGGCTAACTCCCTGGGTTTCCTACAGACAATGTAGACAAGGATTGTAGAATCTATGGTCCAGCTCCTGTCCATCTTCTCTTGACATCATCAGACCTAGATATCCTCAACCTCCTTGCCCTAATGATCTCTATTCCTTTTCTTGCCTTCTACTGTTTTTTTTTTAATTTTTAATTTTTAATTTTTAATTTTATGCTACAATTCCATAGGGTATGGGGTTTCACTACCCCTCTCCAAATTCCTACCCCCAACTGATTTTCCCCATATTATCACTATAGTATAGACCTTCATAAGGAGTTATAATTCCATCAGTCTGTTATTTAGGTGTGCTCCAAAACTGCTGGTACACACAATGCCAGACAGTCCAGCATCCTATTGTCAAGATAGTTTCATTGGGAGTCCATCTTTGATTTAGAAGTAGAGATGTATACTGCATTGTATCTTCGCATCTGGGCATGATAATCTTCATTACGTTGTCACTATACAGTCCCTTAGATGAGAAGCCACGAAACAATATTAACAATGGGAATGAAGTTAAAACATTAACAGCACCATGGAGTTAAACAACATGCTACTGAATAACTAATGTATCAATAAAGAAATAAAATAGAAAACACAAAAGTTTCCTGGGTAAAATGATGCTACTGTGCGATCTACGAGTCAGTGAGGATGTTGATAAAAAGAAGAGAAACTATCAGGAAGAAAAGAAAATAAAAACAAATTTCCCAATAGGATTGGCACCAAACGATGTAAATGCTAAACCTGAAATGCCCTTCACTGATCTGTCCCCAGTCCCTTGTCCCCTAGCAATGCACGGCCCCCTCCATGCATGTAGTGGACATGACAGCTGTGTGGTGGACATGGTTAGTGAGCACCCACAGTGGCATGGTAGATACTTTGTCAGCTTCTCCCCAGATCTTTAAGAAAAAAAAATTAAGCATTTATGCTGGCACACTGGTGGTATAGTTAACACAGAGTTGCCATTGATATCACCCAGAATGTCTGCCGCCTGTATTAGAGCTTTGACCAAATGATTTCCACCTCTGACAATTCTTTAGATTTAAATTTTAAAGTTGAGTATTTTGACATTGAGATTTCTATTTGGATCCCTGGAAATTTCAGAGGTGAGACACAACCTGGAGTCACAATAGTTCACTTTACACTGTGTAAAATACATTCTTGAATTACAAAATAATGCCATACTTATGTTATGCTGATAAAAGCCTGAGGTTTGATTGTGTACATGGATCAATCACTGCTGATGGGACGTAATTTCAGAGTAGATCCCTTCCTTTATAACTGTATACTTAACGTGGTTTGTCCTTCATGTCCTGCAAGTTGAGTCTGAGAGGAAGCTAGACCTCTGTCCAGGCCTGCACAATGTCTGGACTGGACCTCAGCTTCCATGGGCTCAGGGAAGCTTCAGGAGTGCAACCTTCCCAGTAGCAGACATTTACTACCCAAGACATCATGGACGAGGCTGCACAAAGTGACAAAGGCAGCCATTTTTCCTAAGGAACACTTTACTTACCTGAATATAAAGCTGTTAATTGTCATGTGAATAACAGATAAATGATCTCATCAGTGAAGGAGAAAAAGGGGAAAGGAAGAGAGATGAAGGTTGAAAGGGACAAAAAGGAGGGAGGGAGGAACGGTATTCGGAACATTATTAAAATTACGTCAGTGAAGCAAATTGAATCAACTGGAAACTAATACTAAGCAAAACCCATTACAAACTAATAAACAAAATAATACTAAATAAGAAGGCCTAAAACTAAATTCAAAAAACACTTTCAGGGCCCACCGCACTAGCCTAGTGGCAAAAGGTCTCTCCTTGCACGTACCGGGAACCCATATGGGAGCCGGTTCGAATCCCAGCTACCCTGCTTCCATCCAGGTCCCTGCTTGCGGCCTGGGAAAGCAGTCGAGGACAGCCCAACACGTTGGGGACCTGCACCCACATAGGAGACCCAGAGAAATTTCTGGACTTCAGGCTCTGAATCGTCTCAGCTCGGGCCTCTCTGGCCGCTTGGGAAGTGAGTCAGCACATGGAAGATCTTCCTCTCGGCCTATCCTCCTCTCTGTGTATCAGATTCTACAATAAAATAAATAAATAAGTAAATCATAAAAAAAACCCCTAAGAAACCAATCTTAGGTCTGGCTCGATAGTCTAGGGGCTAAGGTTCTCTACTTGAATACTCCAGGATCCCATATGGGCACTGGTTCTAAACCAGGCAGCACCACTTTCCATCCAGGTGCCTGCTTGCGGCCTGGGGAATCAAGGACAGTTCGAAGGACAGTTCGAAGACTTGGGACCCTGCCCATGTGTGGGAGACCCAGATGAAGCACCAGGCTCCTGGCTACGGATCAGCGCAGATCCAGACTTTGTGGCCACTTGGGGAGTGAATCAACAGACGAAAGATCCTCCTCTCTGTCTCTCTTCCTCTCTGTATATCTGACTTTGTAATAAAAATAAAAAAATCTTTCAAAAAAATAGAATCCAATTTCAGTTCTGCTACATTGTTGGATGAAACAGCCCAGGACATGTACGTGATTTGTGTGGACTCAAACTTTGTGATCTGAAAATGTTGTGTGGAGTCAGTTCCCATGAGATTTCTGTGAGGAAGGCTACAGGATCCCCGGCAGTGTTCCCAACCCTGAGCCAATGCTGGATGGTACTGGGAAAGACTGGTCCCTCTTTCCATGCTTTCACTACCATACACCCAGCATCATGGCCGTGCTGTAGGCAGAATTTCAGAGTGAACCAGGAAGTACTGGTCACACACTGATGATGTCATAAAGAATCCTCCCTCACTACAGTCTCCAGGAGGGAGGATCAACAAGGCATCCTCGACCCTGAGGGAGCATTAAGGCAGTTTAGAGGAGCAGCACTGGCTGCTTTCTCAGCCTGTTGCTCGCACCCCTGATTCCTGCCGGACCAATGCAGAACAGGGACTGTGCTGAGAAGCAAGAGTCCAGTAAGTCAACGCTCCAGTATGTCTTCTGTTTAAGAAACGTCTGTTCCTCTGGTCTCCCTGCTGCTCTGAGTCACTTGTGTGCTGTCCTGATTCATTGTCTTCATTCGGGTTGTAAGGTAGCTGTCAGGGAGCTCACATTTATACTTTTATTCTCAGTGATATTAAATCACATGCAGTGGCAAATAAAATCCGAGTGATGACAAGTGGGGCATGACATTACAACAAAATACCTGTTTTCCATTCAGACATTCATTATACAAGAGTTGGGTATATGCAATGTTGACTCTGGTACTAAAAACATGTCAGAGTGGGCCAAGATATTTGCTCTGGGTATTTCCAGAAAATTATAATTGAGGGCAGTGATGGGAACATTGGGACATTTTTGGTAGGTGCTGCCACAGTGTCACCTGTCCTTAAAGCTTGAATTACCTGTGAAATGGAAGTTTTCATATAATCAGTCTGGTGGCTGGTAGGATTTGAGGGTGTGGAGGAGGTTGTCTCCCAGGTATCGGTGCTATTGTGAAAGAATCTGAGAGAAGAAGGCAAGATTGAAACAGATTTCTGTGCACAAGACACATTTCTGTTTACTACAAATCCTCATTTAAAAAGTGATTTGACTGAAGTGCTTCTTATTCAAGATTTTTCTTCGTATAGGTTTATTTGTGGGATATCTGGACAGGGATTGGAGTCCTCTTTCTAAGCTTCCTAGGATTGTTTTCATGGGGCCGGTTATTACATTTCTTGCATTAATATGGCTATAGACCATAAGGTAGTACCTCAGAAATTTATGTGTCTTCAACGTAATATATTTGTCTTGAATTTCAGAACTCCATGATGGTACCACCCACCATGAACGGATGAAGAAAGACTGGGATTTGTTCCGTCGCCGTTTATGCCAGGAAAACCTTCAGTATGAACATGGTGTGCCTGAGCCTCCACCTTCACACCACCAGGAGGCAAATGGAGCCCAGGCAATGGTAGACACCCAGGAAGAAATACAGTTAGAGTGGTAAGTGAATTGACTACTGGGTCTAAACGAAGCAACCTCTTGAAGCATGGGACTCTTCCATTTCCGGGTCTTCTTTTCTCTCTCTCTCTGTGTGTGTGTGTGTGTGTGTGTGTGTGTGTGTGTGTGTAATGGGAAAACTAAAGCATGCTAGAAATGGTGGGTGGCTGGGAATTTCTACCTCCAGTCATCAGAAAAAGGAGCTGGGTTGGGAAGGTTGTCCTACCACTTACAGAAACCTGCTCTTACTTCTTTCCAAGCACTTCTTATACTACACAGTACAAGAAGAGGATGGTAAAAGCTTCTCATCATGGCCAAATCCACATGCCTTTGTGCCGATATAGCAAATATCCAAGGAAAGACATGAGGGGAAAAACACAGGATGGATCGGCGTCATGCTGGTTTAAGGTCACAGTGAGTGTCTTGCTAAGATCTGCGTGAGATAGAATACTCTGAAATCTCATAGAAGTAAGGCTGCGTGAGCCCAGGTGATTCCGGGGGGAGCGAAAAATAGAGAAAACAGGGCTCTGAAAACTCAAATATTGAGCACAGAAGAAATTCTGTGAGCACTCTTTCTTCAGGAAACACTAATTGCAGTTGGAAAGTCTGAGGGGGAGCACTGAGTTTGTCACTCTGAATTCTGTATTACTGATCATATCATTGAGTTTTCCTCTTTACACTTAGATTCCACATGCACGAAAGTGTAACAAGACAAAACTGATGAAATCAATTCAGAGTTACTGCACGCTTCCTTTCGTTGCTGTGGACGTAAGACAGGATGGTGAAGGCAGAGGGGTGGGAGAGGGGAGAGAGGAGCCTGGCTCAGCAGGGACAGATAAGCTGTCAGACTGTTGCTGTTGCTTCCCCATAGTTCCATTACATCAGGAACCAGGCCTGTTTCTTTATTCAAGATGAGATTGCAGCATCCGCCCTGAGGGATGTGAGTGGAAAGATTCGGGATGATGACAACAGAAAGGTGTGCGCAGAGGACACTGCAAAACCGATTCCCAGGGCCAGGGGCTGGTGGTGTTCCTGCTTGGGAGCAGAGATCCTGGTGCTCAGGCTGCCCCTTCTTTCACAGATAGCTGTGTTCGTCCATCGCTCTGCTGCACCCTACTCTGTGCAGAATCAACTGAAACCAGAAGAAATGCAACTGCTGAAGGTAATGAGGTTAAAGAATGTTGTGCAGTGCACACTCCACACACCTGCCTCTTCTCCCCGCACTCCTACATGTCCCTGTCACCAGCCCCTCTGGCTGAGCCTCAGAGCCCTGCTCTCCATATGTGTCTTTACAGCGCACTTTGTACAAACGGTATGATGCCAACACAAAGCGCCTTGACCTACAAAGTCTACGCCTTGACCCAGGTATAGCTGTGAGCTGCAGTTGCATGGAGAGAGAAGGCAGGGTGTAGGGGGTGAGAATAACCTGGAAGTACACAAAGTGATGACCACTTGGAAGGTGTTGGTGTTGGCTCTTGTCAACCCATCTCCTTCTGCTTCCCTTCTCCTGGTTTCCTGTAGACTTGATGCACCATCATATTGACATGATACTGAATCAAAGACAATGCATGGCTGCAACCCTACAGATCATTGGAACAGAATTCCCTGAGGTATGGTCCTAGGACTAGGACTCCCATATGGGACAGAGTGTCACAGGGTGGCCTGGAGAGCAAGCGTACCTCCCAAGCCACAGATGTGAACTATCACTCCAACCCCTCCTTCCCCAAAGCTCTCGGCTCTGAATTTGTGCAACAACAAACTGCACCATCTGGATGGCCTGTCTGACATTTTAGACAAGGCCCCCAAAGTCAGGTCCTTGAACCTGTGTGATAACGAGGTGAGAAGGGGGAGCCACAAGTAAGTGGGGTTGAGGATGAGTGGGTGGGTGCATATCAGGTGACAACATGCAGATGATATACCTGTGGGTAAGGGTCAGGACTGTGGGTGCAGGGCCATGGTCATGATTCCTTGTACGTCATATTGCTCTTGTCCTGTTGTTTGTCTCAGCTTTGGACAATACTAGAACTGGAGAAGGTAAAAGAGCTGAAGCTGGAAGAGCTGTGGCTGAAAGGGAACCCGCTGCGCAAGATCTTCCCTGACCACGCAGCCTATGTAAGGTCAGTGGTAGTGCCTGTGAACTGTCTGTGGACATTCATCTGCCAGGGGCTCAAGTTGGCCCTGAGTGGCACCTGTAGGAGGATGTAACCCTGGTCCTCTAGGAACACCTGGACCCTGCCTCTCCACTTTGTCCTTCAGCTGTTCTTTGAGGTCTCCTTTCCTCCTTCTGACATCATCTCCTTTCCAAATGATTAGAGTGTTATCCCTCCTCACTGTGTTGGACTCCCAGGTGACCTCCCATTAGGTTTGCTCCAAGAAGCAAGGTTCCGTGTCTTCACAAGGGACAGCAATGTTAGCCCCAAGCCAGATGGTGTTGCCCTCAACTTAGACAGCTCTTGCATCCCACCTTCTCAGGCTGACTCAATGCTGAGAGGAGCTCTTCCTCTGCTCCAAACTGCTCCCAGAACCTGCCTGAGGTTTAAATGTTCTTTTCCTGCCCCATTTTGTAGAGCTGGTAGCTGCATGCCTGCCAACATGACATCAAACCCTTTGTTTCACTTCCGGGAGCTGGGACTTACCTGAGGAGAAACCCATGTTCCCTGATTCATGTGGCTAACTGCTGGCAACTGTCAGAAAGAGGGATTCTTGAGCCAAGACTGGAAGGTCAAGGGTAGAGGAGATGGGCGAGATACAAGGGCATGCCTCTCATGGGCACCACTTCTCCATTCATCCTCAACTACATCCTCCAGAGGAGACCCAAAGGCCCTTGATGCATCTGATTCCTTGCTTAACGCTCTGACAACTAGGCACTGCTGCCTGTGGATCTGGAGAAGAGAACACAGTGATGATAGCAGGGGGCCAGAATCCTTGATCCATTGCTCCTTCAGGGAAACTGCTCCCATCTCTGGGGCTGCTCAGTGCCCAACCTCACTCAACCAACATCACACAGGTGACAAAGGCTCAACCTGCCTCCCGTTGCCTCTCACAAGTCCAGCCTCTTCTCACACTGCCCTGGGTCCATCTGGTCCGGCCAATGGCCCCTGATGAGAAGGGTTGCAGCAGAATACCCACTTCCCTGCCCCCTTCCTTCTTGATCTCAACACAGTGGTTGAGTCTCTTCCCCTTCCTTTTGTTTCCTATTCCTTCTTTGTGCTCTCTTTTTTCTCCCTCAGCTCTCTGTAGCCTACCACCAGTTGCCTTCTCTCATCATGCCATACTGACTTTACCCTGTGTCTGGATTCACATATCACTCTCTTGTTTGTCCCGTTTCCACCCAGGCCACTGCTAGGGGGTTGAGTTGGTCTTTCCCAGCTGGTGCCTGCAGAGGGATTCATAGTCTGAGAAGCAGCACAGGCTTGGTCTCCAACCCCATCCCAGTAGCATGTGAAGATTCCCAACATCACACCACAAAAACTGAGGGAGATTGGGAGCTGGCTGAGGTCTGGGATGCCATTGGGGCTTTTGCTGGTCCTGGAGTAGTTAGCGAGGACAGAACGTGATGCAGAAGAAACGGGAAAGGATTTTAGAGGAAGAACAGATGCAAAAGAGGAAAGAGAGTGTGCAATCCCAAATGTCAGCCACTACTATCTATCACTCTCTCTCTCTCTTTTTAATCCGACAGAGGGATTTTGGATTGCTTCCCCAATTTGTCACGCCTGGTGAGTACCTGTACTCATCACTCTCTCTTCTTCGGACGTACACCATCTCAATAACTGCTCACAGCATTTGGGTGGATTTGGGTAACAAGTTGGCATCGCAAAATCTTTCACTAGAGAGATGACTTCTAATGAAGGCCATGCATATTCCCAGTGCAAAACATATCCTTAAGTACACACACAGACATGTGGTTGTACATGACCTTGCACAAACCACGTGTTCATTGTGCTGCTCTCTTCCCAAGGATGGCAAAGACTTATCCCCACCAGTTGCTGAAATGGATGAACAGAAGACAACAAAACCAAGTGAGGTGAGGAGGAGGAGGGATTAGGGAGACTTTAGTAATGGTGTAGCAGCTCGGGGTGCAGAGATGGGGTTACATCACTTACAGTTTCTTAAATGGATTTCTTTTCATTCCAGAAAAGTTCTCAAGAAATCGAAATGATGAAGAATGTGATCATCAATTTCCTTCACCAGTAAGTATGCCAGGGACTATGAGGAAGGCAAATGTGCATAGGCCTGCTCACATGAGTTTTCAAGTGTCAGTTGTGTCTGGGCACAGACATAGCCCATCTTCATCGCTTCCCCACAGCTATTACTTCATCTATGACTATGGAGATCGCCATACTCTTATTAATGTTTACCACGAGAAGGCTTATTTCTCTCTGAGCACTGTCTTCAACTCCACAGACCCGGTCCCGTAAGTACTGTATTCACATCTCATCTGGGGCCAGGTAGTTCCCAGGCAGACACAGGTCAGCTCCTGCAATCAACTCTTCTGCCTGGAACACTGCTTACTGTTCTTTGTTGTCCCCTAGGACCGAATTGTGTGAATACGCCAAGATCAGCAGGAATATCAAGAACATCACAGAAGCAAGTAAGCATTTGATGGGGCAGTCCGGGTGAGGTCGAAGAAAAGAGACAGTTTAAGATCCAAGGGATGGGTGTGGCAGCACAGGTCTCTTCCTCTCTCACATAGGCCTGAGGAGGCAACTGCTGAAGCACACAAACCATGCCATCGTGGACACCCTCAACACGTTGCCTAAAACTCGACATTACTTCAGCTCCTTCTCAATAGACACCTGCTTCTACACAGTGAGCACCTGCTTCCTCCCTCTGGCAGGCTTGAAGTAATTAGAGCTAGACCAGAGGTGCAGGGGCATCCTGAGAACCCGAGTTCTTCTTCCCTTTCAGGAGAAGTCCTTCACTGCCACTGTCAAGGGGATTTTCAGGGGAGGTGAGTGCTCTCCATAGTCACCTCCTCAGAGCCCCCACTACACCCTTCTTCTCCCTGGCATACCCCTCAGAACTCTCCCAGCTTCTCCCAAATCTGTTTCCTTCCTTCTGCTTATTCCTCTGGTGTTCTCCTTCTCTTTGTCTGTCCAAACTGTTTCTTCATCCATATTGGCCCATGCCTGTCTACTGCATATATTTCAGCACCTGGGACACAGGCTGTGCAGTTGACTTGCAGCCCCGTTATATGCTTTCTCGTGATGTAGACCCTTCTTTTCTCTCCTCGCGGCTGACCAATGCAATGTACGGCACTAGCATCCTTGTCTTGGTTCCTGAGAATTAAATTAAGAGGTGACTTGTCACATTGGCGTCAGTTTGACCAGTATGATCCTCTTCAGTATTAGACCCGGACTGAGAAAGCAGTGTGAGTGGGTAAAGAATGTGCATTCCAAGTGGTGCTGTGTTTTGTCCTTGAAACAGAGAGTAGATCTGAAAATTCGGTGCTTGGTTTCATCCGGACATTCGTTGGGTTCCTGACTGACACTTCAAAGTAAGTGCTGTGCTGTTCATGGAACAGCCATTCCTGCCTAGGACCACTGGTAAGGGAATGCGATAATGTGGCACTCGTGATGTGCTCAGTCAGTGGGACTAGCCGTAGGTAGAGCTGAGGGACAATGTGTCCTGGAGGTTAAAAGAGATGTTTCTGGAGCCAGTTAGTGGTTCCTCCTGCTGATCCCACCACTTTGTACGTATGGGAAGTTGGTCACATTACTTTATGACACCATGATTCACTGCCCTTACTGAAGGTGGGGATAACTGTGTCCACTCCTTTGCAGTGTCACACAGGAAAAGTGCAGAGGGTGAAGTGCACAGACTGACTTAAAATATGAGACAGTCTTCTCCAGCATGAGCTCAAGGTAGGGTTAGAGGACACAGTTATGAACCTTGGGAGGCAAGAGAAGGGGGAACATGTGAGAATCTGGTAGGTGTGTGGTAGTGGTTATGGAAGAGCCTGTTGGGAGCTGGGACTGTTCTCTGTGCAGCTGGCTGAGGACCCATTTCCCCGACAGTGTGTGCATCCTGAATGACCATCTCTTTGTGAGCAACACCAACCCTGTAAAGGTCCGGAACAGCTTTTCGATCGTGGGGGCCATACCGTGCTCCCACTGTCCACCCACCCTCTCCCTGCTGCAGGAAGAAATGGTGCATGCATTCTCTGTGCAGTCTGGGATGAAACTTTCATGGAGCCAAAAGTGAGTGCTGGTTGACCATGGGAATGGGGGCAGTAGGACAACAAGAGTGTGGCACATGAAAATGCATGTGATGTGGAGAAGGGTCTCTGAGTACTTTGCTTCTGTATGAAAATATTGTGCATATGAAAGAGAGAAGCTTTAATAGGGATGCATATAGAGATTTTTTTCAACTTGTTTTTCAGGTGGTATTTGATGCACATTTATTTTACTGCCTGCAATACACACAGTGCACATACAAGTGCTGGTTCAAGTTCCAGCTGTTTCCTAGGTGACCATCTAGAGAAGGAAAAATGTGTGCTCTTTGAAACACTAGCAAAGGAGTATTCGTAGCAGCATTTTCTGTACTAGCCTCAAGTGGAAGCAACTCCATTTCCCCTTAGCTGAAAAGTGCATCACTAATTGTGGCTACCCACATCCTGCTCTCCCAAGCATCATAATTCTGACATAGGCTGTCACAAAGCGTCACATGCCATGTGATTCTGCTTGTAACAGACACCTTGGACTGGGAAATCCATGGAGACTGTGAGGAGAGACATCCTTGCCTGGGACTGGGAGAAAGAGCTAGAGTGAAAAGTCATCACTAACCGTTAAGGAGTTTCTTTTCTAAACAAGAATATGACCTTGGCATTAGCTGGGATAGTTGCAAGTCTTGCGAGAACAGTATCAAACTCCGAATCATACATTTTGTGAGGATGCTTTTTGTATTACATGGCTGTTATCCAATTTAAATATGTTTGAAAATCATGTGAGTTTATACTTTAAATTTCTGTATATTCTTTTGGTATAAAAGATATGATGTCCTTTTTTACTTGAAAGTCAGAGTTTTAGATGGAGAAGAAGAGGAGACACACATACACAAAAAGAGAGTGAGAGGCACTCTCCATTGATGGTACACAATGACCTTCTCTGGGCCACATTGAAGACAGGATCTTGAACTTCTTTCAGGTCTCCCACATGGATGGCAAGGGCTCAAGCACTGGGGTATCTCCTGCTGCTTTCCCCAGC